GGAAGCTCATCTGCAGTCTTTCATCCAGATACTTCAAAGTTGAGAAGATTCAAACCACCCTTTTCACTAGCTGTGCGGGGCAGCGTTTAGGTCCCGGTCTGTGCCTGCCATTCCCAAGCTGTGCCAGCTGCCGTACACAAAGAGAGCAAGAAGGCAGTGCCGGAGTCCTCATTGTTTTGCTTTTTTTGCACGAGCAAAGCCTGACTCAGTTTTACCAAAGCAAAATACAGCCTGGTCTATCTCTGCGTATAAATTAAAGGTAGCACAGAATATTAATGAAGTACATTCTGTGCTGAGATTTTATCTGATTAATTTTTTAACCATATTTATTTCAGAAGCCATTAAAAACTCTAACTGATATGAAACAGGTCTTCTGGTTATTTCTGAAAATGGAGGTCTGCCTACAGTCACTGATCAAAAAACTGAAGGTGGGGATGAGAGAAGAAAAAGAAAACAAAGTAAATGGGTAAATACAGCTCATTTCTCCCACCTTCTGCCTGCTGTTAATAAAGGTAAAGATTTTCACAGTTATCTTTGCCCTTTCAACCTCTCTCCTCATTGATCGAACCATCAAGTAATAATCTTAGGCTTATGGCATCACAAGGCTTTCTACCAGCAAAGTGCAATGACACAACAGGGTCGAGAATAGAAAGCAAGGAGGAGGAAAGTGTGGGGAGCAATCAGCTGAAATGGAAAAAGTAGTTATGGAAAGTTGTTATAAAATCCCTGGTTTAGGCTCTCTATATAGTAAATCCCGTAACGATAACAGGATCCATGAAAAAGTTCCCACTGTAGCAGCATCTTTTCCTGAGTTCACTCCTACAACAGCGGTATCTAAGCAATACTCCCGAGACCTTTACTTTGCAAAGCATTTGAAACGTGGGACAAAACCCCTGACACGAGTGCTGGTCCCCGTCTCCTCACAGACGCAGCCGGAGCGCTCCTCCGGTCTTCCAGCAACAGAGTTGTCAGCCTGGAAATCAAGGATCCTCCGCCCCACCACGAAGTCGGGGCGGCAGCAAGCCCACGGGAAGTTACGCTTAAAGAGCCAAGAATACCTTATCTCAAAGGATAAGGTGGAGCTTTACTTTTCCCCTCTTGCAAAATTGGCTATTAAGTAATCTGTTTATGTCACACATACCAGCACTCCTAACAGTGGCATTACAGCAATATGTCATTACCTTCAAGGAAAGGAACGTGCAGTGCTCTAAATGAATGGGAATGGTTTTCTCGCACAGGAGGTTCAGCTTAGGGCAGTGCCTCTTCCTGATTTCCCCCCAAGAAAGCCTACATTTGTGCACTTGCTTTCCTTCCACACTCTGAACCGGACCCAGGATCCCTCGTCTCGCCCAAGTCACATTTCTGGGCACTTATGCGCAACAACAGTGACAGCCAGCAAAGCAGCTCCTCATAACTAACATGTACGGAATTAATCAATTGAGCCCTCTCACTGATAAAGACAGTAGGGGGTGAGCTGGAATGGAATAATTTTCAAATGTCAACAGCTGGTATCACTAATAAAATAGCAACGCGTTCCAGTGTAGGACCATCGGACCGAGGTGCCATCTTAGAGAAGCATTAAACAGTCTCTGGAACCAGGCCAAAGGGACATACTTTTGTCAGGTATGTGTGGTTTCTATTAACATTACATTTACTCAGCAAGGGCATGACCGACAATTGCCCCAAGCTGAAAATGTCTCAACATCCGACTGACCAGAAATGCCTGGTTTTCCCCCTCCTTAAAAAGTAAAGTCCTTCCTTCTCCCCCACACCACTACATAATCAAATTAGAGAGTGAGATGGTAATTCAGAGCTACTATCTCCATCTCACAGACATAATATGAGGTCATCAGCTACCGATAAAATGACATCAGGCTGTTTCTCTCTTCTTGCAAAGAACATGCAAAAGAGGGATGCTCAAAAATGACAATTTTAAAATTCTGTCTTCATCTCTTTGAAATCAAACCCACTCACAAGCAACAAAAGCAGCCTGCTTTCTAAGCACCTTATAAAGTTTTGCGGTAGGGTTTTCCCGTCCTCTCCTGCAAACTCCTGCAGCGGGGGAATCCCCAAGTCCCACTGCCCTAACTCTACACTATCAGCTGTCTTCTGATAAATGTTACAATTCCCCTTTCCCTAGCAGAGGGGAAAGAAAATGGTCTCTCCTCTCTGCCCAGGGCTTTTTTCTTTTCCTACAAATTTAGTGAAATTAAGAGTAGCTTTAAAGAGCCTTCCCAAGAAATTTGATCAATATTGACTGCTAGGTGCAAAAAATTATTCCAAGAGGAATGGAGAGAAGAGGCAAGAGAGGCAAACAACTTCATATGTATGTTGTTTCCTCACTAAAGTAGGCTAAAAATAAAAATTATCAGAAAAATACACCCGGAGGTAACAATTCTGCTTGCTGTTACCTTCTTCTACAGGGGATGCAAGTACTGTAAGCCTTTTAGAAAAGCAAGTTATAACCATACCATGAAAGTGGCTGGAGTAATGGAGAGCACTTCAGAGCTAACACCTTCAGGTCTCCAGACGAACACTCTCCTCCTTGAAACCACTCCACTTGCAGTGCAGAAATCTAGCAGCAAGACTTAAAAGCATCTACACCAAGGGTCAGCCAAAGGTCTTCAACCTGACATTTTAGCCCTTCCATTGGATCTCAAACTGAAAGAGCGTAGATTTAGATTGGATATAAGGAAGACATTCTTGACCGTGAGGGTGGGGAGGCACAGAGGTTGCCCCGAGAAGTTGTGGATGCCCCATCCCTGGCAGCGTTCGAGGTCAGCTTGGATGGGGCTTTGAGCAACCTGGTCTAGTGGAAGACGTCCCTGCCCATAGCAGGGGAGATGGACTAGACAGTCTTTGAAAGGTCCCTTCCAGCCCAAACCATTCTGTGAGCCTACAGTTCACTCTATACACGCAGACTATGACTGTACACAGGGTGCATGTGTGCATAATAGATACACACATACATTAAATGTACTTATATACAGGGTGCCCGTATGTGTAGAGAGTTAGACGTAGCTGAGGAGATGCACAGAATCATAGAGTCATTTAGGTTGGAAATCTTCCCCTCTAAGGCAAATACGATCTCTTCCAAGTGCCAAAGCCTTTAATGATTACTCGCGCTGTGCCAACGCCCCAAATTTGCCAGGTACGCCGTGAATTCAAGGCTGTCCCACTCGTGAAGAGCGGAGCAGGTGGCTGAGCAGCGACTCACCGCCCGAATTGTACACGCACCATACGTGCACGGTGACGCTGACAGACGCTCCCGCGTCAGCGCCGGCCCCACCACAGGCGGCAGCTCCTTTTGTGATTTAGCTAGGTCATTCGCAGAAGCCCGGCAAGAATCAAGGCGCTGCCTTTAGCACGAACAAGGGAATGAGCTGGTTACACAGCTCCAAGTCTCTCCGGAGGCTCAGACAAGCAGCTACAGTTCTCAGAGGCCTGTCGTCTGCTATCAGAAATACTCGTTTCACCTCTTCTTCTCCTTACCCTTGCAAGATGAACTGCAACCGGTCTGTTCGCCCAACTAAATCAAATGAGGCTATCTACATTGAAACAGGGAGATAAACACACCACACGTACAAATATTACTTAATAGCGTTCACCACAACCTTTTTCACAGCACCTGCAGCCAGTGAAAAGGATGCTCCCGCACTGCTCTTCACAAACAACAATTTGTATTATATTCCTGGAGTGTCACGCGTGGGCAAGACACACCACAACAGCATGTGGCAACATTTAAGATACTAAAATGTAAGAGATGTTCTCCCTCTCTCTCCTCTGAAATGTTTCTGCTGTGCCAAAGTGTCAATTATTCTACAAGTAAAAGGCCAATACAAAACGCCTGTCATTCTGACCCTGCAGACGGCAAATGGCCTAATTAAACCCAACGCGATGATTTATAGCTACTGAGCACAGATTACTTCATACAAGAGAGGAGAAAAACACAGGCTTTCTCATGGAAATGTCTGGTTTGATTTGCTGTAAGTGTTCTAATTTATCTTTTTGGAGATTATTTTCTTTCATACTGCTTGATCCTTTACAGTCTGTTACCGGTGACAATGACATGGCTGTAATGCTGCACCTTTCAAAACATTTTAAACCAAAAGGCCACAGGCATTTGTTTGCAAATAGAGAAATTAGAATAAAATTACATACCTAAGTCAAGAGGGGAAGGATAGCACTGCGAGGTGAAATGCTGGCCTCCTTTCCCTTCTAGGTAGGGTACATACCCTATCGTCCTTGCCTCCTTCTCCCCCACTAGTTTATCAAGTACACAGTCAACTGATCCTCATAAAACAAGAAAAAGAGAATTTCCTGCAAATAATTCATTCCTATCAGACTAATAACTGTCCACAACCCTGAACTAAACTCCTTTAAATTCCTTTTACTTTTGGGATTTCACAACATTTTTAGTTAGAGAGAAAACTAAAGCACTTGGAGTCTACTCTTTTCCTAAAAAGTGAGGAAACTGTTTGCTCTGTTAAAAAGTTCCTTTTCAAGGGAAAAACCTTCTCTCTACGCCTCCTAAGGCATAACGTCCACTTGCCGCCTTATGTCCACCCCCTCGGTACAAATTCTGCTGGTTTTTCCAGTTTGCTTCTCCATCTGCAACACCTGCCACTGTATTCCAGCCCTTCCAGGTGCAGTGGTGATATGCAAACGTTGCCAAAACTATATTCATAGAGGAAAGAAAACCAAATAGCTCCAATATTTCACAGCCGCTATACAAGACACAGCAAAGACGATTTTGTGGGAAGTGGAAATGTGTGCAAGCAGCATATAACAAAACATTCCCTGCTGAACTGAAAAAAGAGGGTTTCTTTAAAAAGTCAGTTTCACCCCCGATCAAGCTTACCGTGTTTCAGTCAATTTTAGGATTAATTACTCAACAAAACAAAGGCACCTTTTTTCTCTGCTATCCGACTGTGCCGATTTTACATACGAATACAAATTGTGAAGGCACCCTTTCTCCCCAGCAGCCCAAGATTTCTTACCTTCCACTTCTTCTTCATCACATACATGTTTAAGGAAGGAAGCCCCTCTATCCAGTACTGCCTCGTCCTCCATCCTATAGTAATAGAAAAGAAAAAAGGAATGCTCAGACTTCTCCTGGAGCGAGCTATTTGAACCAGCCCAGGTCCTGGGCAGGTTAACTTGCAAGCTGTTGTTCATGTTCCTGTGGGCACTTCTGCTCTCCTTCCAGTGCCTGCTGTTCCTTCATAGAGCTCCTTTCAAATGGCGTTTGGTTTAAGCTGGCCTCACGTAGCTCGAATTCTAACCTTGAGAGGACATCAGTGGTGACAAGTGTGAGAAAGGTAATCCCAGCTAGAAGTCTGTGGGGTTTTTTCCTGTTTCTTGTTTCTTTTTTTTTTTTTCCTCCTCCTTTTTCCTTTTTTTCTAAAAAGGACGTCTAGACACACAGGCAAGTTTGGGACTGTCTACACAATAGCCAAGAGTTTGTGGAATTCCAGTTTCCCTTTAAAGTTCTTCTAAAAGACCTCGGCTGCAGAACCACGTACGCAGGCAAGCACGCATACTACACGCAGACATCGACACGCGCTCGAATGCACAGTGGGAGACCAGCCTTCAGGCAGCCTCTTAATACCAGCAAAGCACACTTGTCTGTTGGGAGGCAAGCTTTGTGTCACATGTTGGCCTTACAGAAATCTGACATACGAGGATTATCCCGAGACTGAGCTACAGTAAGTCAGACCATCACGGCAGTCACTTATGTGTGTCACCCATTCATTCATCCATGTGGGGACGGGTTTTAGTGGTTGCCTTCTCTCCCTTCCTGCTTTCTCTCCACCTCTTATCTGCTTCTCTGTACAGAAGAGACTCCTAATTCTACGCCCCTGCCACAAAATTCCCCGAAGCGCTGCCCAGAACTCCGGCTGCTGTATTTCACCCACAAAGTAAGACCCTGCACGCTTTCCAGGGGTTCACCTGCAAATTCGCTTTTGACAGGTAAATACAAAAATGATAAGAAAACAAAGAAAAAAAATCTAGCTATATTAAAGAATCTCCTTTCATATTGCTTGGAGGCTAAGCACACATTTGCTGCCCTGTGGAAGTTTTCTATCTTAATACAACTGGAGACTGAGCTGGTAACCTGTTTTCCTACCAATGGCAAGAAAGAGGCATATGTGGGTAATGATTGAAAACCAACACCTTTTCTTTATATTCCCTAGATGGAATAGGGACAAACTCGGTACAGAAAGAGACAAAGCCTTCACAACTTCTTCACATCCCTATCGTTTCCACTTGTGATCCCGCAAGATCCTCCAAGTGCAGTAGCAGCAAGTTTTTGAAGGGCACATTCAAACTCAGGGGAGTACAAAAAGTGAACGGATGAATACCAAGAAATCAGAACGAGTGAGGGTATCTACCTTGCATGTCGACGCCTACCTGAACAAAACAAACAAATTCAGCCACAAAAGAAAGTACCAGAGCCCTCATTTTCTGGCTGCTGTGCTCCTACTTTCATTCTCCCACCTTTGCCAAGTTTTCCTCCACCTCGAGCACCTTTACTAGCACACACGCTGCTGGCCTCATCCTTGGCTCTTAGTCCACCGCTCAGCTCCCATGACCCAGTCTCAAACACATCACAGATAAAAAAGAACAAAGCAAAACAGGTCAGATTCAAACCCACTAACTAAGCATATGGAAATACACATTTTGCATTTGGATTATGGGATGGCAGCAAATAATACAGCACCATCCCCAGAAATGAACATGAAAATCAGCTCCTAAGTTTAGGTCCAATTCAGACATTTGAAACGAGTCCCACCTCCCCTTCACACAGGCTCTTTCTGCCCGCAAGGTCTACCAGAGACCCAGAAGCCAAAGGATTTGAAGAACAAATTTCTCTGACTTGAGAAAGGTACCATTCCACAAGCAGCTGCTGCCCTGCACGAGGGGTAGGATGTGCCTCTTGCCCACAAAACACACAAAGCCAGCACTCAGGCACACACACAGAAGCCTTCCCTGAAAGCTCTGGTTCTTCAGTAAATTATTCAAGACTATTTATGCATCTTTTCTAAGGCAACAAAAGGGAACGTATTTCATGGATGCTTTTGCCCGTTTGCAACGGTTATGAAGGCACACCCCGATGTTTTTATTTTATTTTATCCCCCCCCCCCCAAAGCAGCACAGTAGCTACTTGCTATAAACACAACTGAAAACATCTGGAACAGATGGGACCGGATTTCCAGCCCGAACACAAACCGCACGCACTTTATTACTCCGTAAAGTCTGTTCTTACAGTTTCACGCACAACGTGCCCTGGCATTCACCTCCGCTCCCTGAGCACCGACACATTCGGGCCCCTCGGCACGCGTGCAACCGCAGCTGCGCAGCCCAGGCTAAAATCCCAGTTTCAAAGGCCAGTTTCCCCATACCGTCTCAGGCAAAGGCAGCTGAGAAGCAACAGTACAGGCACGGTGTGGGGAGAGGGAGAAAAGAGGGGAAAGGAAGGGAATAATTTCCACTGCCTGCAAGGAATACAGCGCTGAAAATTCACCGGGTGCCATCCACCTAGCAAAATCTCTGCTCAAATTCCCCGCCACAGCAGTGCATCCTCCCAGCATCACCCTGCCCACCGCTGTGCCCCGCTCGCTGCTCAGCATCCCAGGCAGCACCTCGCCGCGGGCAGCAGGAACGGACCCCCCAGCTTCCCCCCCTGCCCTCCCAGTAACGGCACCTTTCCTCCCTTGGATCACTTTATCACGTTTAAACAGCTGCGCTTTCTAGCTGCAGAGGGTTGGAAAACTGCTTACGACACATGGCGAGGCTGATGCTTTCCCCGGAACGCGTGCAGAGCGGATCCGAAGGAGCTGGGGGGTTTAAAGGGCCAGGAATAGAGCTTGGGTCGCCTTGGCACGGCGCCCCGACTCTAATCTGCAGGAGTTTAGTGATTAGACTCCCAAGCGCCACCTCCCTTGACTTGGTCTTTTCTGCCCTTCTCGGATTACCGCAGGATTTCTTCAGGCCAAAATCTAGCAAAAAAACCCCATCCTTTATGAATTGGCACGGGGGAAATATTTCAGCCCCCCTGGGATTTTTCAAATAACATGAAATGGGAGTTGCAGAAATGAAAAAAAAAAACCAAAAACAAAAGAAACAACCAACAAACACCACACACGTGAAACAGCAAGAAAATCTCCCCTTGGGTCTTCAGGGGAAAACTGGCAGAGTCCTATCTGTGAAGCACTGCAGCAAGAAAAGGTATTTTCACCATCCCATGGAGGAGACACACACACTGGAGAGAAGAAAGGGTGGATGTTTTTCTTAGGGCCTCTGACCAGAAATGTGCCTTAGTTTAAGCCTAGTTTACCAGCTCCTTGTAGTAAGGTAAAAAGCATGGGACATTCAGACACTTTTTATCTAGATCCCCATCCTCATTACTGCTACAGCAAGGTTTTGGGAACAAACCTAAAAAATTAATTAAAAAATATTGGGTTTCTATTTTCAGGGTCTAGATCTGAGCAAGTCACGTACTCTGACCAAATATACTCAAGTGAAAAAATATGAGCCGCTTGAGTAATTGGCCTCTCTGGGTAGATAATTAGATCGGTACGAAACATTTTTAGAAATGACATTATGTGTCAACAGGATATTAACAAGAGTCACACATAGCCTACCCAACACAGCATGCAACTCAAACCTAAATTTGCAGACCACTCGCAGATGCAGCTCACAGAAATATTCTGCCAGACTACGCAGAAAGAACAAGACCAATTTAATACTAACAGGGATCCCAGGCTTCATAATGGAGAGGAAAGTCAGTATAAAACGGGTGAAAGTGAAGGAAATCAAACAGCACAAAGCAGAAAAGAAGATGAAAAGTCTATTCTCCAGCAAGCAGAGCACACCCTGAGAAATGAGCAAGTATGTTTGCCTCTCTGCTCCGGGTAACTTTAGAGGTTTCTGAGCCTTCAGCATTAGCACAGCAAACCTGATTTGGGTTCTAAAGGAAAAGCGCTGCGGCTCAAAACCCAGTTGTTGGTGATAGGCTAAAAAAAAGTAATAATAATAATAAAAAAACTACTTAAAACTCCTTGTCTCCTTCCCTTTGCCTACCCTTATCTGACAGTCTCTGTTTTGCCCATCACAGTGTAAATTCGTCCTGCGGGTCTCCTTCTTACAGCACCGAACGCTTGCAACACATCTTCCGAGCAGTCTAAAGCAGCAAAGTAAGCTCAGCTTTACTGTGCCCGGTCCTAAGCGAGGCAGAGACCCGTGGCCAGCCCTCCTCTCCCTCCTCTCCCTCCTCCCAGCTGGAGCCCTAGGAGATGGAGTGCTGCCACCGCCCGGCCCCGCCAGTCATCAACGTTGACAGTCATCAACGCCAAGCGCTTTTTATAACTTTGTAATTGATGACGGGAGAAGAGGGAAACGAGCGTTTGGCGTTAATAAAGCAGGAGGGCTGATGCGGCAGCGCGAGCTGTTGCGTGGGGATGCAACTCGCTGGAGCGAAGAAAATGCGTGAGTGTCGCTGGAGAGCAAGAAAGGAGAGTTATTACTCGCTGATAAGCTTTTACGATTCTGCCCGTTTCAAATGTCTTTTGCAATCAGGAAGAAACTCCAGCAAACTCTGGAATGAACAAAGAAAAAAAAAAAAAACCCCAACACAGAGCCAGCTCTGTAACTGAAACAGCATAATGCAGAGCCCGTGTGAAAGTCACATTTACAGAGCAATCCTTTTGCAATAAGCCAGGGCGCAGAGTGTGTCAACGGCTTCAGGGAGGAGAGAGGACTGCGAACATTGGGTCACAGAGCAGCAACGCCTGCCGGCCGAAACAGCAGCCCCGACAGCCCCGGCTCCAAAAGGGCTCATGTCAAACCCGCTCACCGAAACGCGCCTGCCCGGCCACGCAGCGCGGCAGCTCCTGCTTCGCAGCTCTTCCAGGCAGGTGCGCGGAAGCCGCCTGCACTCTTGGGAAAGTCGAGCGAAATAAGATCTCCCCGAGCGTGCAGAATCAGTCACCCTCGTCTGCTTCTCAGAGCCGGCCATCCTTTACCTGTCAAGACTTTTTCCCTCAGAAAACTGCTATCCACGAAGTGGAGCGGGAGCACGACGGATGGGGA